TGGAGAACCTTTCAATGAACGTGAAATTATCTTTTTCCTTCTTGGCACTAAACACCAAAGATGGCCACAGCAGTTGGTAGACCAACTACTGAAGTCTGAGCATCCTAAAGTAGTCATGGTGACAGACTACTTAGATGTCAACATTCTAAGGCTCATGCCATAACTGACAAAGTGACATATTCATTTCCTTCCCCCATTTGGCTTTGAAAAATTATTTTTGAGCAACCGTTGAACCACAAGTGTTTGTAAAGAACAACAGATTTTCACAAGCATAGATTAATAGGTAGATTGATAGCTAGAAATAGAAGACAGAGATATAGATATACAGATATAGATAGATAGATAGATAGATAGATAGATAGATAGATAGATAGATAGATAGATTTGACAGGTAGACACAAATTTAGATAGAGAGATAGAAAGATAGATTAGATTAGATAGATAGATAGATAGATAGATAGATAGATAGATAGATAGATAGATGATAGGACAGAGAGAGAAGGGTGGAGAAAGGGAGAGAGAGAGAATAGATACTGATGCCATTAGTTTATCATGAGAATCAAAATTAAGGAACAACAGATTTACACAAGCATAGATTAATAGGTAGATTGATAGCTAGAAATAGAAGACAGAGATATAGATAGATAGATAGATAGATAGATAGATAGATAGATAGATAGATAGATAGATAAAAGAAAGAAAGAAAGAAAGAAAGAAAGAAAGAAAGAAAGAAAGAAAGAAAGAAAGAAAGAAAGAAAGAAAGAAAGAAAGATGGATGGATGATAGATAGAAAGATAGAATAGATAGATGATAGATAGATAGATAGATAGATAGATAGATAGATAGATAGATAGATAGATAGATAGATAGATAGATATGACAGGGGAGGGAGAAAAGGGGAGAGAGAGAAAATAGATCCTGATGCCATTAGTCTATTATAAGAATCAAAATTACTTATTAAAAATACCTTTACAGTGGAGTCTGCAATGGAGAACCTTTCAATGAACGTGAAATTATCTTTTTCCTTCTTGGCACTAAACACCAAAGATGGCCACAGCAGTTGGAGACCAACTACTGAAGTCTGAGCACTCTGAGGTAGTCATGGTGACAGACCACTGATGTCAACATTCTAAGGCTCATGCCATAACTGACAAAGTGACATATTCATTTCCTTCCCC